AGTGTGTTGCATTAACTTTAGAGATGGCCTCAAGCACTAACACCTACTGCACTAAGCCAGCATCTACTATTCTTACATAGCCGGGAACCATGGTGACGACCACGCATCGTAGGGACCTTGGTACGGGTTGGTGAAATGGTTCCTGGTTCCAGCTACCCCTCCCAAGTTCCACCGTCCCGGTGGAAAAGTGAGCACTCGGTTGTGGCAATTCTCGGGCCTCAACTTTAATCGGATTCATATCCCTCAGTCCCAATCTCAGTTTCGATATCAAACTAGCTCTCCTACAATACAGGACATCAATCTCCCATAATCTGTTAAACGAGTTAAATAAAACTGACGACAACCACTAAAAAAGCTACTTAATTCAAATCACCAACAGAAGATAAGCTAACGGTTTCGCACCTCAAGCCTGAAAAAAAACACAACTTACTCCAGACAATATTCCCTTTTGCCTGGATATTTGACTAGTCACAATACGATTGCTAGTTGTCCACCACATCACACGCCACGTAACAACATTGCCTTGGCAGGCAAATAGCACAAAGCAATTCACAGGGAAGGCAACGACACTAAGGCAGGGGCAAACATACCAATTCATGGACCGGACAAATTCCCGCAAATTCCCAAAACGATCTGCTGGTCTCACGGCTGCACAACGAATGATAGCACTGGCAATTACTCCGGGATCCTCCTTGGCATTTTGAAATGGCAAAACTTCCAACAATTCCATGGGCATGTACTCGTCTCGATCCTTCTTCGTCTACAACATCCACATCAAAGTCAAGACAACTCATATTCGAAGCGCCTTAGCTCAACATGATCTCATAGACGGTCACTTCAACCATCCTTGCTTCAGGTTCCTTCGCGTTCCAAATCAAATCAGACACATTCACACTTCTACCCTCCAGACGCCACCCAAAGCCCCTCCATTCAATGGAAGTGTTGTGAAAGCACGTTACACCAACACTCAACACTCAACATTAACGTGGCGTGAAAACCGGTTCCACAACTCACCCATCCAAACACCTCAACACTTGAAAATACGAGTACAACTAGCCAGTCACCGCCCTATGACAACTCAAATGTCATGGC